CAGTTTCTTTGTTTAGCATTATATACAGCTAAGTCACAATTCATTTGAGTTCAAATAATATGATATTCAATTTAGTACAAATTGTACAATGGCATTACGTCGCATTTAATGTGAACCAAAATTCAGTTAATGCCAGGCTAGAACATGCACATGGTTGCCATAAGGGTTTTAGAATACTTTTGCTATTCAGTATTGCTCTACCTCTCTCCGGTTTGTTCCTGCTCCAGAAAATAATGATACCAAAAGGCTTTATTTACCACCATTTTGTGCTTGCACAATTACAGAGAAGCTTGTGAATTATAACTAAGGAAGCAGAATGGGGGAGGGGGAGGGTTCAAGCAGAGACAAACGCTGCTCGTTTTATCCTTTTGACAAGTTTGTTGCATGGACAAAAAGTGTGTCATTAAAACACTGGTGTTTTAACTATAGTGATTTATAGTCAACACTTTGTCAGACCATGCAAAAAGTAGATCAATGTTATATTAAACTGCAAAGTATTTAGTTCAGCAGTGTGCATAACAGCGATGCTCTCTATAACTACTGTGACTTTAACAATAAATTTACATTATAAGTATATTCTTTTAACCCTTTACTATATTTCATTAATAAACATACAAACACTTATGTTAAAAAAATTCATTGCCTATTTCCACTGAGTTGGAACCAATTAACCATATTTTACATATAACTTCAACTAGTTTGAATAATTAACAATTTCATGGGATTTATTATCTATACTAACCATTACCTCCCTGTATTCCATTAGCTTTACATTCCTGCTTTCTTTATTTTAGAGTGATTTGGACAAGGTTTTGATTTGATTTATCACAAGGAGACTTCCTTAGCCAGGGACCTTCCTGAAAAATACCTTGTTGACAAGTGTTAGTGAAATGAGGCTGAATGAGGTGACTGCATGAGATTTGTCAATGTATGTGATGAGTGCAAGAGTGAAGCAGGAATAGACTTATACCCACCTGCCTCTTCAGGAGGTTTAGTTTTACAAAAAGCCCCAACCCAGCCCAAACTAAAATAAAATACAAGAAAAATACACATGACTGCCTGGCTGCAGCATTTTTATTTTTATGACCTAATCATCTGTCCTTTTTGGCTGGCAGAGAGTGTGGAGCTTTCAAAAGACCAAAATATTGTCATGGTGGTTGTTGCTGGGGTTTTTTAAAAACACAAGCCAGCAGATCATAAACTCCTCAAAACTGTCTTCCATCACTCAGGCTGCATATTCCCAAGAGGCTTATAGAATCCAAGACCCCAGTTGCTCTGGGGGACTTAAAAGGCCCTTAGAAGGAGCGTCAGGATCTGGTTTTCAAGTACATTTCCAAATAAAGAAGCACAATATTTCCAAGGTTGCTTTTCCCAGATGTACATAAAACTATGAATGCTGGTGATTTATCACACTTAATGGTAGCTTTAAGCTTCCACAGCATTGTTATGCACTCATTTTGCAGATGGAACTTGTAGACTTATAATACACTCACTTCAAGGTTTATTCTTTAAGTATACCCTCAAACACACATGAACCACTACATGCAGCACTGTAGTGGTGAATTTTGAAGTGGAGGCACTCATCATGACTATCTCCATAGTCTAGGGAGTGGTAAAAATGCAGGGAGTTGTGTCAACATATCATTTCCAGAAGTTTTCACCTCTACTGGGGCCTTCAGCTAAATTAATTACCCATTCAATACCAACCAGGCCATCCCAAAATATTGTGCATTAAAACCAAGAAGCTTCACAATATGTTAGATGAATTTGCATGATCAAAAAAGTCACTGTGGCTTCAATAACAGCCTATGTGTTGTTTGAGAGTTGTCTTTCTTTCAAGTAAGCCTTGCTGCCCCAGACTGGATGATACACAAGCCAAGCTTTGGAAAGTAATTAGGGAAATGGCACTGGTTATGTGCAGGAGTTTTGATCGTCAGAACCATATCGTGTTTGCTGATGGAGACGTGATGGATGTGGTTTACTAGGATTTTGGCAGGGCCTTTGACAAGAACCACATGATATCCTGGTCGAGAAATTGATGAGCTTTGGATGGATCGATGCACTGTCCAGTGGATTATGGCATGGTTGATGGACCACAAGCAGAGGGTAACAATCAGTGGGAAGTCATCAGGATAGCAGCTCATGATCTGCAGAGTCCCCCAGAGCTCAGTTCTAGGACCTATTCTGTTTAACCTTTTTATCAATGACCCGGAGGAGGGGGTGACCAGTCAGCTGACCAGATTTGCAGATGATACTAAAGTTGGGGCAGTGGCCACAATGGAGGAGCAGGTACTCCAAATCCAAAAGGATCTGGACAGACTGTGCAAGTGGGCGGGAGACAACAGGATGGTATTCACTAAGGTAAGTGCAAAGTCTTGCACTTGGGCATCAGGAATAAGTGCCATAGGGGGTCAAGTGGCTGGAGAATGGCACTTGTGAAAGGGGTCTTGGGGTATTTGTTGACAGCAGGCTAAACATGAGCCAGCAGTGTGACACGGTTAGGAGGGCAAAAGCCACCCTTGGATATATAGCCGGAGGCGAGGCTTCCAGATTGAGAGAGGTGCTGGTGCTGTTCTGTAGGACTCTGGTGTGCCCACAGCTGCAGTACAGTGTCCCGTTCTGAGCTCCACATTACAAGAGGGACATGACAAGGTTAGAATCTGTTCAGCACAGGGTCACAAGGATGGTAGCTGGGTTGCGGGGCTGCCATATCAGAGGAGATTGAGGGTACTGGGACTTTTCATCTTGGAGAAGACTCCAAGGAGATCTAATAGCAACTTACAAGTATGTGAAGGGGTGTCACAAGCTAGAGGGTCGTGACCTGTTCTCTTGTTTTGATAGCTATGAAGAGTCCCTTCAAAGTGCCCAGTGGTACTTCTGAAGGGATGTCAAGCACTTTTTTAGTTTGGCCCATTTTTAAAAAAATTATTATTTTAGTTGTAGTTGCACAACCGTTAAATGTGCACAATAGTGAGTTATTACACTGATGTTTATATCCCACTTTTTTCTGCAAGGGATATGAAAAAAGCCGTGCTGGATCAAACCAATGGTCCATGTAGTCCAGCATTTCATTTACATGGATTTGCTCACAGGATCTTCTAGCAGGATGAGTACAAATTTCCTCCCGTACAAGCTTCCCAGCAACTGATGTATACAGGCATTCTAAAATGTGTAGAGAGCTTCGGCGGTGAGATGGTATAGAAATAAAGAAAGCCTCTGATACTGGATGTAGTCCTTGGGTAGCAAGATTAGTAGCCGTTGAGAGAACTTCTCCTCCATGAAGTTGGAGGAGCCTTTTAAAGCCTTTTAAAAGTCCCCTTTTAAAAACTGGTGGCTGTTACTGCTTCATGTGGCAGTGGATGCCATAGTTTAAGTATGTGCTGTACTTCTTTTTGGATCTTCCACCACTCAGCTTCATGGGATGATCTGAGATTCTAGTACCAGAATCAAACTCAGATTTCCTTTTAAAATTAGGATTTTGACAAAAAGATCAGGTTGCTAGGTGGGGTGGGAGGTCGACAGGCACATATGGATGCGTGTGTGTGTCCCTGTCAAAAAGTCCTGGATATCCCTGCCAAAATCTGTTTTAAAAGGAAGCCTGAATTTTAAGAGCTCTGCATTTCTAAAAATGGGATGGCTTACACTCTTTCTTCCATACTTGCAAAAGTCTGAAATAAGATGAAAAAATGAATTTGGGCTGAAAAACTAGGTAGTGAAGCAGTGACAGACCCTTCAGTATGCCAGATGGGCACTTTGGAGAGGCTGTCACTGGCTGCCCACTGAAAGATCATGAAGGACAATCTTGGAAAAAATAGGGAAAAAAACATAGTAAGTGCAAAATGGCTCGTGGTCAGTAAAGGAGACATTGAGCCACTGGCCCAGGCAAATTCAACAGCGGCGAGAGCTTTTTGGTGTTCTTGCCAGCTGGCTCACTCACTCGTTGTCTGTATCCATCAGGGGGCTGGTTTCCCAGGTTCAGATAACACAGCAACCTGCTGTGAGTAGAGTGTCCCCAAGAACAAACCATGGGTTGCCAGGATGGCTTGCTGCCCTCAAACAAGTCATCCTGCAGGAAGTGATTAGGGTTTTTATAACACAAAATCCCACCACAGCTTATATCCACACCAGGTTGTCATGCTGTGCAATCCAGTCACTGGCACTCTCTAACGTCTGAAAGCTGTGTTAAATTGTTGCTTTAAGAAATACGTATCTGCTATTTCTGTTCTCCCAACCACATAATTATCCATAAATCTCTTAAATCATCTACAGTCATACGTTGTCCTATTTTAGATGACGATCCTTTGTTATGAGAATTTCCACAATTAATTCCTCATAACAACTGAATGTTTCTCTCAGATATTTTGAGGTTTATTTTGTCAAATACATTTAGTGTGCAATTGCATTGGCTCATTCATGGAATTCAAAGTGAAATTTGTAGTGTTCCTGTGTTTTTCTACCACTTCTTCCATTTTTTTTCTTACCCAAAAAAATCTTGTTGAGGAAGAAAAGATAAAATAGCTGCATAATATCTTCTGAACGGCAGCATTAGAAGCCCTCTTTTTTTGAAAAAATTACAATAAGGTGGATTAACCTACTTGTACTGACTTACCATAACAAGGGTACAGTATTCTTAGTGATAAGGATACTGAACCGTCTTTCTTTTGGCCTACTGCTGAAGTCTGTGGCCTGAATTGTTTTTCTTTGTAGAATTTTGAGGAGGACATTAAGGAGGAAAGAAGAGGAAAATCTTAATTCTCAGACTGACAGAGAATGGAAAGAATCACTTTTTACAATTGGTCAATAGTTCATAGAGTAGCGATACCAAGTCACATCCAGATATTGAGGACTGTCCTCTGAATTGAAGATAGACTTCTGCTGGAAACACTTTAGGGAACTGCTTGTTACACAAATCTCATAAAAAGGATTGGACATTGCAGACACTAGTAACTGGGCCTTACCTGACTATATAGCCTAACTTCAGAATCCTTTGTTCTCTACAGCTAGCACAGAAATATGATCCCCAGCGGGAACATGAACTGAGACTATGGATTGAGGAAATGACGGGGAAGCGCATTGGAGACAACTTCATGGAAAGTCTGAAGGATGGAGTCATCCTATGCGAGTAAGGAACCATGTGTGGGAGTAGGGAAGGCTTGTTCCCCAAAAGCGGGTGGGCAAAGAAAGCCCAACATCATTAGCATTAGGCTCTGGTATCTGGTAGCCTACCAGAGTTGTAGGTGATTTTTGAAGGGTGAAGACGGAAAAAAATGCAGTCCACACTTTGGTACCCACAAACTTCTTCCTTTCTTCTCTTTTTTGCTATGCCAACTCTTAGAAGGGGGAGCCCCATAGAATAATGCAGAAGAAAAGGGAAAACTGGGGGTGGGCTTTGCATAATTTTATTTATTAAACCTGTATTCCACACTCATAGTCCTGCAGGACTCTAGGCGCATCATAAATACCAAAATAGAAAAGGTATAAGTCATCATGGTCCTTGTACATTTGTATCACTAAAAGGCAAGTTTGCTTAACTTACAAGAAGGAAACATGAGTTCACACAGTTGTTTTGCTGTCATCTCTGATCCAAGAGGTTTGTGAAGCAAAGTAATCAAAAAGCAGTGAGAAAACACTTTGACCTCTTAGGACACTATCACTGACCTTAAAGGGGTCCAAGCTTCAAAAGGTGATTGAATGAGAGAGTGAGGAGCTAGGATTTGTCAATATGTTCAATTCTGTTGTCAGAGACTTGAACTGGAATAAAGATCTACATATGTTAATTTGCTCATGCAGTGCCAGGATGTTTGTGTTACCAGCAGCAACTATTCTGAAATAGCCACTGTGAATACAATATTCACTGTTAATACTGTTTTGCATTTCATTTCCTTCTGAGCTCAAAGTTTACAGTTTTCTTCCCTCCAGGCCCACTAAATGCACTGTATGCATTTACAAAATTCTTAATGCTTCATGTATCTGATGAAATAGGCTATAGTCCACAAAAGCTTTTGTCAGAGTAATTTAATTATGAAATGTCCCAAGACTCTTTACCAAAGTCAGAAACACAGAAATAGAGTGAGTCAGAAGGGGTCTCCCAGGCCATCTAGTCTGACCCTCGGCTCCAGCCAGCTCTGCTCATGACATGCCTACCACGTGCATGTCCAGCCTATCCTTGAACACCCTCATTGATGAAGCTTCAACCACCTCCCATGGAAGCCCATTCCATACCCTCGGGGTCCTAACTGTCAGGAAGTGCTTCCTGGCACCCACCTTGAATCTTGGTTCCGGAGCCTTGCTCCATTGGAACACATCCCGTCCTCCACTGCAGGGCAAAAAGGTCACGACACACCTCTGCATGACACTCCCTCACATACCAGTATGTCGCCAACAGATCCCCTCTGAGTCTCCTCTTCTCCAGGCTAAAGAGACCCAGTTCCCTCAGACTCACCTCATATGGCACCCCCTGCAAAGTGACCACCAACCTTGACCCTGCACTGCACTGACTCTAACCTGGCTATATCCTTCATGTAATGAGGGGCCCAAAACTGAACACAATACTCCAGTTGCGGGCGCACCAGAGTCGTATAGAGTGGTAGTAATACCTCTCTTGATCTAGAAGCCACACTTCTGGCTATGCAACCAAGGGTGGTGTTCACCCTCTTGACCACCGCATCACACTGCTGACTCATGTTTAGCCTGCAGTCAACCAGCACCCCAAGGTCCTTTTCACAAGTGCTGCTGTCCAGCCACTTGTCCCCTAACCTGTACTTATGAAACCTATTGCTATGGCCCAAGTGCAAGACCTTGCACTTATCCGTATTGAACGTCGTCCTGTTGTCTCCTGCTCACTTCCATAGTCTGTCCAGATCCTTCTGGATTCAGGGGTACCTGCTCCTCAGTTGTAGCCACCACCCCCATTTTGATCAGCAAGGGTGGAAGGCACGTTCACCAGCTTTTTTTCAAAGCACATTAAGCTCCTCCCCACCTCCTTTTTAACAGCTATCTCTCTAGCCTCAAGGTAATTTTTAAATATTTGGAAAGGATAATTTCATTTTCCTTAGGAGAAGCAGCAGAGAAATGTTAAATGAGGGCAGGCATTTTAACAGATTTACAGTCCATCCTATCGGAGGGGTTCAGTGCAGGTTATAGGAGTTTTGCCAAGCGCAAGAAGGTATCATCATCTGTGTCAGTGGTGGGTGGACCTATGGCACGCATGCCACAGTGGGCACACACAGTCCTCTCTGTCGGCACGCAAGCCAAGTCGCCCCAGCAGCCGAGCATCAGATAACAGTGCACACAGGAGCCATGAGCATGCTTGGAAAGGAGTAGCGGCGCCAGGCAATGATGACACAAGCTGCAACTCATTAGTCGCTACTCTTCCGATCTTTCGCATGGCCGGTCAGTGTGCTGCCCCCACCCTCTCTCTCTCTCTATATATATATATATATGCTTGGACTGGCTGCGAGTTGTTTTTTTCTAAACTAAAACCTCAGTATTCAGGTTTTATTGCAGTGTTGGCACTTTGCGATAAATAAGTGGGTTTTGGATTGTAGTTTGGGCACTCGGTCTCTAAAAGGTTCACCATCACTGATCTATATCATCTGAACTAATTAAAAAACATTTGAGGAGGCTAGGAAACTAAATACATTGTAACATAACTTTGCTCAATAGAAATAGGATGAAGAAGCATAGTTCTTTCTCATTTACTCATTCTGGATCCGTATGTCTCCAGACCCAAAGCAATTGAATCAACTGCAAGATTGGGAAGAAAATGATCAGGCATCCTCAGAGATGTTTTCAATTTAAGGCAGAGGATTGGAGCACACAAGCTTAAACAGTAGGTGACCCTGTCATGAGGGAGGCATCAGATGGTGAACTTTGGGCCCCCAGTGAAAGGACAAGAGAAGAATAGACATATCAGATACATGGAGGATAACCTACTGGGAACTCCGTACTGCAGAGTCCATGCTCGGTATAGTGGATTGTGTACAGGGGAACTTCCCAATGGATTGTGCCCCAAGTAAACTGGTACCATTTTTATTTTTCACCTAAAGCAGCCTCTTCCTTAAACTGTGTATTGCAGAGCCTTGAATCCCAACCCTTGAGTCCCCAACTTCCAATTAAAAAACATTTCTGATATCTTTATAGGACAAAGAAACAGAGTCAGATGGACTCTAGCAGAGCAAACTTAATAATAAATCCTTGTCTGTCTTTCTTTATCTGCTCACCTGCCATGTTCTTCTTTACTACCATCATCAAGAGGATGCAAAACAGCTTCATAGAATAGTAGAGTTGGAAGGGGCCAGGAAGGCCATCAGGTCCAATTCCCTGCTGTTGCAGGACACCAGTTTACACCATCCCATTCAGATGGCTGTCCAGTTTTGCCTTGAATGTCTCTAGTGTGGGAGTGCCTACCACCTCCCTAGGCAACAGGCTACACTGTCATATTGTGCTGACCATGAGGAAACTTTTTCTGATTATCTAGTCTGAATCTGGGTTGGTACAACTTTATTATTCTGTCTTACACTCTGGTATCAGCAAGAAGAAATCTTGACCTTCCTCTTTGTGACAGCCTTTGAGGTACTTATAGAGGGATACCATTTCCTTGCTCAGTCTTCTCTTCTCAAGGCTGAACATGCCCGGTTCCCTCAGTCTCTCTTCATAGGGCAGTGTTTCCAAACTCTGGATCATTTGTGTTGCCCTCCACTGGACCCTTTCTAATTTTTCTGCATCTTTCTTAAATCTTGGTGCCCACAACTGGACACAGTTTTCCAGTTTTCCTCATTTCCTACTGAGGTGTAAAGGGGAACTACTACTTCTTGTGATTTGGAAGTAATACTTCTGTTAATCCATCCCAAAATAGCATTTGCCTCTTTGGTGGCTGCATCAAATTCTTGGCTCATACTTAGCCTATTGTTCACAGTTACTCTGAGATCCTTTTCTTTTTCAGCTTTGTTAAGCCATGTATTCCTCATCTTGTATCGATGTATTCGGTTTCTTTTTCCTAGGTGGAGGACTTGGCACTTGTCCTTATTGAATCTCATTCTGTAGCTTTCAACCCAGTGTTTGAGTTTATCAAGGTCACCCTGGATCTTTGTTGTCTTCTAGGGTGTTCACTATTCCACCCAGTTTTGTATCCTCTGCAAATTTGATTATCTTTCCTTGTACTTCCTCATCTAAATCTTAAGAAAGATGTTTAAGAGTATTGGGCCCAGGACTGAGCCCTGCAGCAGCCCCCCACTAGTTACTTCCCACCAGTTTGAGAAAGTGCCATTGATGAACACGCTTTGTGTCCGATTTAGCTTGCTGTCCTAGAGTGGCATCATTTGATACAAAGGGAAAATTAAGTAGTTAAAAATGGAAAATCCAGTAATAACCAAGTGATTTTGTTGTAAGATGGAAGTAGTATCTTACTGTTTTATATTAATTATCCTTTTTAAATGTTTTTTCATGTATTAGTTTTTTTAATTATTATGCAGCTTTAGCAATATACCATGCAGACCTTTATCTGAATTGAAGGGTCTAGTTCCAAACTGAAAAGCAGCATCATTCCCTAATATTTCTCTTGCTCAGTCCTAAAAAGATTATATCCATGTTCCTACATAAAAATGCTCACCTTCAGCCCTTTCATGTACCACCCACCCCGCCCCGGCAAGTTAGAGTTTTCTTCTTAGCTTTACTGGCTATTTCACCCACCCTCCTGACCAAGTGCTCCATATTCTCCTCTGTACTGACTTTTTCTTTCTTCAAGTTAAAAAATAATGAGTATTTCTTCATTTTCCGTCATTTATTTGTTGATCACATTGATCAGGCTGAAAACACAGTATCACCATGTTATCTACCCCTGCTGTAGAATAATGAATTATTGATCTCTATCTGTTTGACAGCACTTCATATACTATGATTATAGATGCTTGGTTTTTCAAACCAAGATTGAAGTGGCCTTTGGAGTCTTTTCTAAAGACAGAAAAACAGAATAAATAATAATTCTCTGCTGACTGTCTCTTCTCAAATTACCTGATTTCAAGACTGCATTTTTGACAGCTTTTTTCTCCATGGGTCACCTTTGCGTAGGAAAAAGCCTGCACATCATTTATAAAATATAGTGCATCCTTGCATTAAAATAGTTGCAGATTGGGAAGCCTATGCTTCATGTAGGAGAAATGACACACTATGTCTTAATAAACACACAAGTCACTCTGAAATAAACTTACTGACTTCACCCATTTTCATTGTTCAGCCTCATCAACAAACTCCAACCTGGATCTGTGAAGAGGGTGAATGAATCCACACAGAACTGGCATCAGGTGAATATTCCTCTTCCTTTGCCACTAATTGATGAATTCATTTTAAGTGTGAAAGTGGAGCAGAAAAGTATGAACAGAATAAAAAACTGGGAATGCTGGTAGTCTATGCACAGGCACCAAATCCTAAACTAAAAGTCATGGAAGCAAGCTTTTGTTCTAGAGCCATAAGCCTTCCCTTCCACAAGAATGGAAGAGCCCTCTGCATGATCAGACAAAAGAATGTGTCCCAATCACATTTTACCCTTTCTCTTCAAGCCCTGATCCATCTACATGTGGATGTGTAGGAGTTCCATCCAGTCCCTTTTCCTTGAATGTGTATTCCAGTTGAATGTGCATTCCAATGCAACCTTAACCAAATTAAGCTAAACAATAAAGGTTCATAAAAGAGCAGAGCAGTTCACATTTCTAGGCCCTGGTACTGGGACTGCACAGTCAGAAATGCCTCAAATAAATAAAAATACAGAAGGAAAAAGGGAAATTCACAAAAATGTGAAATATTTGTGCAAGAAATACCCAAGAGATGCTTGAGGCACTCGCACAATCCTGTCCTACACATAAAACTCAACAGCCCTGTCTGGGAAAAATATTATATTTGCCTGGTATACTGTTCTGAGTGCTTGGTGATACCCTTCTAAGAGGACCCCATCCTATGTTCCCTTCTGAGTTTTGCTGCCATTCCCACAGTGGGCCAGCTTGCACAGCATATCAGCCCAGACTGTGGGTTATGTGACGACTGCTTAATTCTCAAATAACCTCTGTTGCTGAGGTTCACACAGCAGGATAAGACAAGGTAACAACCATCTGTGACTTGCAAACACATATTGGCAGACAAAATGCACCATTGTGCTATATGTCTACCCTGTGATCATGAAAACTGGGTCTTGGGGTCTTGGATGCTTTGCTAATCTTGCCAACAGCCAACCTCACCAAGTTTGGATAAAAGAATAACCTACAAGTGGAGGCTGTGTTACAGAATGGACACCTGCATATGTTGCAAAGCAGACAAGCCACGGTATGTCACAATAGTCATGCAAAACAAGTTTTACAATAACCTTCTTTTGGGTGCTGGGAAAATAGACTGGAAAATCTTAGCTGGTGGTCTTGTGCTCTTTGGCAACATGCTGACTGGATTCACGTAGTCACAGCAACCTATCATGGTTGTATTAAGCCACAGTGGATTGGGGTGACTGCAAGTGCTATGTTGCCAATTCAAGCTGCTGCTGCCACAGCTTCTCATGTTGCCTAACCCTACAATACCAAAGCCATACTTGCTGGTTTCAGACAACATGTGAAGTTGTGGCTGGCAAGGGAGTATTTTGCAAATCAGTCTGCATGTGACTGACATGCGGAGTGTGGTTTATAAGCTACCATGGCTTGTTAATGCTCCCGTGATCTTGCAAGCTGAATCATTAACCAAGTTCACACAATTGCAGAGGGGTCAGCAAGCCACTGTACCTGCTTCTGTGCTGCCCAAAGATGGGTAGCATAGACTTTTTGAGGCAGTGGCAGCCCTCAACCCATGGGCTGTTGAGTTATTCAAAGGATGCATGAAGGACTATGAACTCCATTCATTTCCATTACAGAAAGTAATAATGGACTCAGTAGTCTTGAATTCTGCATTTGTGTCTTTGGTTTGAGGGAGGGAAGGAAGAAAATCGCAGAAACCAGTCAATTTGTCCACCATCCACTTGTCATTGGGTTAATTGTGGACGGAAGCCATTACTAGGACAAGAAAGCTGGACAACTTAAGAGAAGCAGAGTAAGAAAAGACACAACAGACGATTCATTGGTTTCTCCTATTTTGCAGCTGGAGAACATTGGCAACTTCATTAAAGCTATCACAAAATACGGAGTGAAACCTCATGACATCTTTGAAGCAAATGATCTCTTTGAGAACACAAACCACACCCAGGTCCAGTCTACACTGATTGCTTTGGCTAGCATGGTAAGTGGATCACCTGACCACCTTTTCAGCAAAGATTCAAATATCCGTGATAAAATAGAATACTAATATTTAGAACATACGAAGTGAATAGAAGCTGCTTGACAAGCATAACCTCAACAATCTCTAGAAACAACTCTAACCTTAAAGCATTTTCCCCAGTTCACAGACAGAGAAGCAAAAAGCAGTAGCCTGCCCAGGCCCATCTGAAGAGTTCATGGCATAAGTATTTAAAGGCACAGCTCACAGTCTCTGCTGCTTTACCTCAATTTGGTGTGGTGGGGTCAGACCAGGCAGCAGCTATACACCCAATGTAAAATGTGTAGATTATAAACTGGATGTGCTAATGGTGGTCATTCTGTTTGTTCTTGGGAGTACTGTATCATGTGCATTACCGCATCTGCATATCAGTTCAACCCATGTAAATAAATCTGTGTTCCAAATGTGCTTCTTATGTCCTTTACTTTATATCTAACAGAGAAGCCTAGCTTCCCGCCACCCCAGCTAGTGGGCAGAGAAAGCCCCAATCTAGAGCTTCACTTCAATCAAGGCAGATCCCAAGAATGTCTTTTAAATATCAGATCTAAGCCCTGGAACATGTGAAGTACTTAAGATGCCTCTAAGCCAAGTACATTTCCCTTCCCACTCTAACTGAAAACTATTCTCACATTTAGAATTAAGGTGCAGAGATTCCAGAATAGATCAGGCTTCTCACTCAGAGAAAAACATTTTTGAAGCACTGATCACTGATCTATCTGATCCCAGTGTAGTAAATCCAGCTGAAATTGTTATTATTTATTAAAGTTATATACTACACCCAAAAGTCCCACATGCGGCTCCCTGGGCAGTATAAACAGGAGAGCTTCTTGCTGCTTCTGGCTTGAATGCACAGTAAATTTCACCCCCACTCTGGAAAAAAAGACTAGGCTCCTTGCTGCATCTTGTTTTATTGCACTTCATGGTTATTGCATTTCTTGGACATAATCCTGTGTCAAGCACGCATGTCTTTTGATGCCATGTTTCCAACAGCAGTCATGCACTTCATGTCTCACCTTTTGGCAATATAAATCTTGCAATTCTGTACTGTATTTCAAACTTTCTCATTACTGTATATTTGTTATGGTTTTTTGTGATCTTTGATGTTACTGTGATCCTTGTAATTGTTTTGACTGCTTCACTCCCATGTCTCTCTCTCCCTCTCCCTTGTGAGACACAATATGCATGCAAATTAGGCCAATTACTGTAATAGCCCTACAATGGCCCCCGAGTGAGTGAGGAAGCTAGAAATTATTCTTAGTGAGGAAGGCATGCTGAATCCAGAAGCTAGGCCTCTTGTGTCAAATGGTCAACCAACAGAATAACCATAAGTACGTGTGACCTGAGTTATTGCTATATTCAGCTTATCGCAGTGGTCTGGAACTGAACCCACAATATCTCCAAGGTATGCCTGTACAGGAGATCCGAGGGTAAAGGGATCAACTTTTTTTTTTTTTTTGGCTCTTGCCTCTTGGCCGAGCAGCAGAGTGGCAGAGGCAGGGAGAGAGTGCTGAGGGTGGTCAAGGGAACAGGAGCAGCAGAGAGGAAGGGGCGGGGCCACCGGCCCGAGAGGCTTTTAAGGTGTCATCCCTTGCCTGTGTCCCTTAGCTGCTGCCTGGGGTCTCCCCCCGCTTTTTTTAATTTAAATTTTTATTTTGCCCTTGTGTGTGTGTGTGTGTGGGGGGGTTCTGTCTGGGAGAACTGGGCAAGTGAGGAGTAGTGCAGGACAGACAAGGCGGGGACCAAGGCAGGGTCTCTGAGGGGTTCCCAATGGCAGGCCAGGAGATGGCCTTGGCGGGAGTCACGGGTGTTGCTGTCTGCTGGGACAGCTGTGACATGTTCGCCCTTCTCCTCCAGGAGAGGCAGGGATACACTTGCCCTCGGAGCAAGCTGCTGACCCTCCTAGAGGAGGAGGTGAGGTGCCTGAGGGCCGAGAGAGCTCTCCAGGCCCCCCGGGAGCAGGCCCCCTCCAACAGAGGGTTGAGGGAGGGGCCACGGGAGGAACAGCCGGGGAGACATGGAGGCCTGTCACCCACAGGAGGCAGCGGCCAGCATGGCCGCCTCCTCCTCCTGGCACTGATCTGGAGCTGGGAAACAGCTTCTCTCCGCTTGGGGAGGCTGGGGCTGATGAGGTCTTGGGCGAGACTGAGGGCGAGACTGAGGGAACTGGGTCTCTTCAGCCTGGAGAAGAGGAGACTCAGAGGGAATCTGTTGGTGACATGCAGGTATGTGAGGGGGTGTCACACGGAGGTGAGTAGAGACCTGATTTCCCCTGCAGAGGAAGGAAGGACATGCTCCAACAGAGCAAAGCTCAGGGAACCAAGGTTCAGTTTGGATGCCAGGAAGTACTTCCTGACAGTTAGGAGCCCGAGGGTATGGAATGGGCTTCCACAGGAGGTGGTTAAGGTCCCTGTCGGTGAGGGTGTTCAAGGATAGGCTAGACATGCACGTAGTGGGCATGTCGTGAGTGGAGCCAGCTGGAGCCGGGGGGTCAGACTAGATGGCCTGGGAGACCCCTCTGTTTCTATGTTTCTAGCTTTACAAGGACAAAACTTGAAAGGATGTCTGCTTCTTATCTGAAACAGGCCAAGACAAAAGGCAACAAGGTGAATGTGGGAGTGAAATATGCTGAGAAGCATCAGCGCAAATTCCTGCCAGAAAAGCTGAAAGAAGGCCGGAACATCATTGGTTTGCAGGTATGTGGTTTCAGAATTCCATCCTAAACTATTTCAACTGGGAATTCTCCCTAATTTCCATCATTAAAATCATTCCATGTGACCACAAAAGATGTCAGAAGCATCCAGAATGCCTTGTACTATTGGAGGAGGAGGAGGCTGAATCCCAGTTCTAGAGGTCTTGAATGACCATTTGGAGGTGGTTGTGCAGTCACACCAACCCTGGTTGTAACCACAAGCAAACAGAAGTAGCAGGTCAGCAGATCCAACCTGAGCATTTCAGAGGAAGAAGGCTTTAGGCATTATGTTGCCACCAAAAGGCACTGCATGACAGTGCACCCAAAGAAACATATTAGGAATAGTGCATTAAAAATGAAATTATTCATAGCATAAAACTGTAAGAATGTCTGTCTTGATGTTATGCAACATAGCATTCATTTGTTTCTCTTAATGGCTGTTCCCAAAGTATATCATCTATAACCCCCCACTTTTTTTTTTTTTTTTTTTTTTGCAGTTTCCACTTTTAGCCACAAATGTGACTTAGGAAAAAGGTGTGTGGGGGGGGTCCTCAAGCAAAAAGTCATGAAGAAAGGAATGACTTCTGTCATTTAGCTCATTTTATTGAACTGGATCCCTACTCCCCATTATTACATTAACCTGCATTTTACCCTTTTGCAAGGAGTCCAGGACAACTCACATGGCCTTCCACCTTTTCCTTTCATTCTCACAACCACTTTGCAAGCCAAATTGAAGCCACCAAGTGAGCTTCATGGCTAATCAAGGACTAGAAGCTGGATCTCACACTCCATTACATCACTCTCTCACATGTGCACTCCTCACCATATATATAGACAAGTGACACTGGTCTACAAGGAGAAAGCCTCGGAAATGAAAGTAGCTAAATTTTACTAGAATTGGGTCACTAATAAAGGAAAATTAAGTCCTGATTATTAATTGGCTCCAATTTCCAAGATACAGCTTCAGGTCAAAATTGCATCAAAATAATTCTAAATTACGAGGATGTGCAATTATGCTCTATAACTTTTCTGCAAAATGTGATATAGCAATGAGAATAGTGCCACACCAATCATTATAAATTTATCTTTTTATTGATACTAATAACATAACTTTCCATTCATTTATTGGTTTTTCATGTAACATTTTCATGCTTTTAGCATGAAAAACTGACAAGCTCTAACATCAGATTAAACGATAGTAGGATTCTGGTGGATCTGAAATTGGCAAGTCCTCACCATGGGATACAAAACGCATGGAATGTTTTGGATATTCCATGGTCCATTTCTTTCTTGAGATCCCTTTTGCAACTGGGGAAACCATGCAAAAATAGCAGTTGCTACTATGATTGGTGGGTTCCCTCCACACCACTGGGACTGCCAAAGGCATGGACTTTTTCTTCTTAACCAATGACACAGATAAGTTGCACATGTAATGCAATAATAATGAGGGGCCCAACTCTTGTCCTGATCCCCTATTTTGCATCCAAAATATAGGTGGTATGCTTTTTTTTACCACTGCCATCATACCGCATTTTTGAGATGCAAATGTAACCTCGCCACAAATGTAGCAGAAATTCGGACAGTATGTATGTCCGATGTATTTTATGATTGATGTTTTTAGTAGTAGTTTAAAAATCCTAATAAAAATCTTTAAAAATATGTAGCAGAAGTTATCTGCATTGTTTACACAGTTTCGAGGCATCTTGCCTTCTGAGGCAAAACATCACATAACTGTTCCTTGGAAATGTTAGGCAATGATACTCTCACAAGCCAGCCGATGTAACTGTATGATGTGTAGATCTGACCAAGACAAATGTACCTTGCAATAAAAGAATAAATTACAGTTAGGTAATAATCTTTAGCCTCAACATGAAGATAAATTTATACACTTCTATGTGGTACCATTTTCATGGTTCTACCATACTTTGTTGAGAAGTTACAAGGCATCATGATCATCAGACACCTCCCTCCCTTGTAGGCAAATATACTCGCCTGTGAAATATCTTGAAAACTTTAGCCAACCAGCACCTTTATCACCTGTTTTCTAATTCATCTAATCAAAATATGTAAGAATTAGCACATTTTATCTCAGAGGTCAATAATTTCCCCAAATTTGTAGACCAGTGTGACAGGCACATTCACAGTCCTCAATTTCAGACCAAGACATGTTTTGCTGTGCTACGTATTTACTGTATTTTGTTGTGTTACAAATCTCCAGAAACCTTCTTGTGTTGCAGGTCTTCAGAAATCACATAATGCAGGTACTCGAATGGAGTTCACTTGTGTGCAATTCCAGTGCCAAATAATTTCAGATTAAATACACGTTTCTAGAGGACCAGAGTTTGTTGGCGAGCATAGCTAAACAAACAGCAACATTAAGACCAAGGATTAATCAATGCAGCTCTTAGGTAAAGCTGTGCAGAAGCAGCAATCAGGATTAGGTTATTTTAAAAAAAATAGCCTGAAATATGAACATTCCTTGGAACACCATTAAATCCATTATTGCAAAGTGGAAAGGATATGGATCAACCGAAACTCAGCCACTGCAGCAAAACTCACTGACAGGGTAAGGAAGGCATTAGCTTGAGTAGCAACAAAGGAAGCCAGTGGTAACTCCAAAGAAGCTGCAACAGAGAAACTGTCCATGGGACAATTATTACCTGGCAACTCCACAAAATTGGGCTTTATGGATGAACGGCAAGAAGAAAGTCATTGCTGAAAGAAACCCTTTATCAAAACCTGTTTGAAGTTGTAAAAAAGGCATGTGGGTGACAAACGTGGGAAAAGTTCTCTCACCTGATGAGATTACATTTTTTGGCATTGCTGCAAACCTCCATGTATGGCATAAAGCCAACTGTGCTCACTGCCCTGAGAACACCAGCTTACTATAAAGCATGGTAGTGGCAGCATCCTGCTGTCTGAATCCTTTTTCTCAGGGTAGAAGGCAAGGTAGATGGTACATTATAAGGCAATTCTAGAGGACCACCTGTTTCAGTCTGAAAGGGGCTGGAGACTGGGGTAGGCCTTCTACTTTACAGCAGGACAGTGACCCTAAATGCACAACCAAACTAACACTGGTGTGGTTTAGAAAAAAAACTTGACTATCTTAACATGGCCCAGTCAAAGCCCAGACCTCAATGTGGTTGAAGATCTGTGGCAGGACTTGCAAGTTGCTGTTCACCAACAGTCTCCATCTAACCTGACAGAGCTATAGCAGTTTTACCAGTAAGAACAGGCAGATACTGCCCAGTTCAGATGTGCAGAGCTGGTGGAGACTTACCCAAGGTGACTTGCAGCTATCTAATTGCTGCCAAAGGGCTTCGATCAAGTGCTGACTTGGGGGCAGGGGGGCAGAGTTCTCATGCAACCAACAAATGTCAGTATGTTTGTTTCTTTTTATGCTACAATAGAAATATTTTGTACCTTCACAAGCATTACCACTTAATGTACACAAGTTATTCAACAATGCTGTTTAAATCCATTTCAGTTCCAGGTTGTAACACAACAAAATGTGGAAAAGTCAAAGGTTGCTGGTGGGGAATACTTCTACAAAGTGCTGTACATTCACTCCCATGCTATTCCCTCTCATAAAAGATTCATACAACAGGTAGCTTGGTACCTTCTGAGGGATTTGCACCACCTAGAGATCTAATCTAATTTAATCTCAGCCAGGATATTCCACAACCTAATTTCCAGCAATGTGGTAAGTGGGAACAAATTAAAGGAACCCCTAGCTGGCAGGTCTTCCAGAAGCACCACATACATAGCAAAGATGTGCAGTGGAAATACACATGCAATGTAGAGTATAGAATTTTCTGTTCAATAGGATAATTTGGGGCTTTATGTTAGTGGGTAGCTGGGCAGATACCTATTCTCCAAAAGGAAACCTGGCAATGACGGATTGACCAATCTAACTATGTCATTCTTAGATGGGAACCAATAAGTTCGCCAGCCAACAGGGTATGACAGCATATGGCACACGTCGACACCTCTATGATCCCAAATTGGGCACAGATCAACCTCTAGATCAAGCCACAATCAGTCTACAGATGGGAACCAACAAGGGGGCTAGCCAGGTAAGAAACGGGAATGCAAAAGGTGTGTGTGGAGATTAGGAAAGGAAACAGAGTTAATCAAAGTACGATCACATGAAGTCCAAGAAAAGCAGTTTCTTAATTAAAAATCAGATGAAATCAAGCATAGCAATGGTATTTCTGGAGGAAGCAGTTGCCCAGATGTTACATGGGTACCTATTTATATCATACTGTACAGCATGAACCAGGCCCCTCTGCAGATTTCAGGCACACTGTTTTAGATAACTACAAATTAAGCATTTTTGTACAGTTCATGTTTAGGCAACATACAAAAAATAGTATTCCACTAGAGATAAAGCCCCTGCTGCAGTTTTATACATAATCATTTAACCCAGAATGAAAAGCAAAACATATCAGTCTCAAACTGAGACTAAAGCAAGTTCAGGCCAGGCAGGGGCCAATATCTCAAGATAAGATTGCCAGTAAACACGTCCTGGCTTGTTCTTCCCTCCTAAGTGTAGTTCCAAAAGCCAGTATGTCTAATCTCAAAGTGTTCAGCAAATAATTCTAGCTCCCTAAAGATCAGGGTAAACATAGGAGAGAGATCTGAGGTATGAGATTTACTAGAATTGAAGCACCTCAACCTTAGAAAGATACTTAAAACACGCAAGCCAGAATTTCCCTTCCCTTCACCTATTAGCAATCCTAAGCAGTAGTGAGCATGTCACGAGAAGTCTGTATGCCTGAAGAAGGTAACCTGGCACTCTGCAGATGTTTGACGCTAGAACTCCCAGACATCTTGACCACTGGCTATGCTGGCTGGGTCATATGGAAGTTGACGTAAAAAAATCTGGAGGGCACTGGATTGTATACCCCACTGCTTATTTTCCATTCTTCTCCTTAAGACATATTGCAAAGCTTTTTATGTTCTTTAACTGTTTTCTATTTATTTGCTCTTATCTTCCCACCCCTACCTACATCCATCCTCAGGCAGGTATGACGGCTCCTGGAACCAAGAGGCAGATCTTTGAGCCCGCCCTGGGCATGGAGCACTGTGACACTCTGAACATCTCCCTGCAGATGGGCAGCAATAAAGGAGCATCACAGCAGGGCATGACTGTGTATGGGCTGCCCCGGCAGGTCTATGACTCCAAGTATTGCCTTACACCCAACTATCCCATTATTGGAGATGATGAAGACAATTACAACCACAGCCATCATAACTTCTACAACTCAGAATAAACAGCAGGAATCATGGGACAGACATTAAACAGAGACACGGGCACTGCAAAGGCACTTCCAAAAAAGATCCACCATCAAGCAGTTATTTTATCTTGGGAATAAGAAGATCCCCAAAACTGCTAACCAGCTCGCTAGAGACTCCTTAAAGCCATGCCAAACCAATTCTCCCCTCCAGCATCCATCACTGAGCCTCAAGAGCTTCACTTTACCTTTCACGCTTTTATTTAACTTATCAAATACTGCCACTGCTTTTAAGCATGCACTACTGTGGCTCAAATCCCTCAGCACAGAATGTCATAGAAAATGACCCAATAGAGTGAGAGAACTAGAAAAAAGGGAATGAGTACTCTTGATATCTCTTCCTTGCTCCAGAATAATTACCAAGCCTCCTCCACGGCCATCACATCTCTGTGGCTTGTGCCAGGCACTGCTGCTGTTTTAGGTCTAAGCAGACGCACACAATGGATGTACAGCTTTTCTATGTGATCCTACTGACTCCTATGTTCCCGTTTTGCACATTCATTAACAGAAGTTGCTCTAGTACAAGCCACATTATCCAGCCTACTCTTGTCTTTAACCAGCCTCATGGTGAAAGGACAAGCATTCCAGCTACCTACTTTGCCATAGGTTCCAGTCACTTTTGTATTCTAAATGCAAACAGTTTGCCCAAGAGCACTGGCAAAGTGAATCTGCTATTGGCTTCTTGAAAATGAAAGATGTTTAGGTAGAATGCATGTACTGTGGACAGAGACTATGGAAAGGAGGTTGGACACTTAAAGAGATAGTGTATGCTCACAGAGCATATCTGAAAGTATGGAGGTTTCCCAAGATTGATGTGATAGATCATTTGGATGGGACAAGAGACAGGAAGATAGACATGTAAACCAAGGCTGTTCATCTTCTAAATTTTCACACATTATCTGCATACCTGGAAAGTAAATTACCAGACTCTTAAGAATCTAGTCTTCACTAAAAAGAAAAAGTGTCTAGCCCTTTTTCTCTTCAGTCTAGCTGTACAGCATGCAGGCAGCTTCTACAATTGATTCAGTTGCTTGGGGATGGGAATTTCTTAGCAATTTATGGCTACCTGTCCCTTCCTACTTTTGACTGCTTCTCCTGCCTTTTATTTATCAATAGTTCTGTCAGAATGGCTCTTCCTTGCCATAAACCTCATTCATCCCAATGCACACAAACTTCATAATAGAAATGAATAAATGTCATGCAAAGTAACCATGTTTGCATACAATCTGCAGTAGTATTTAAAGTTCTTGAGGAAAAGAGCATGGACAGCTTTGGAAAAGACTAACAGATACGCCAGTTGCCATGGAACTAATTCATGTTTAAAACCAAGCTGCTTCTTTTGCTATCCAGATTCATGTGCCTTAAATCCACTTTGCAGTTCAAGGTTAGAATCACAAGTCAAAATATGCATACATACAAATGCACACACCAAATTAAGTTCCACTGAAGTAATTGGTACTTAGCCCCATATCTAAGTTAGATTTAGGACAGGGTTCTCATTTGAAGAAATGTTCATTGTGTGAGTTTTAATCAGTTAACCTGTATAAATTGTAACCACCACCACCATCATTCTGAAGATAAAAGTTCCACTCAGTTTTTTGATGAGGCCTGCATTTGTCACAATTGGTACCATGTAAAAGGAGGCATTTTCTCTCTTATGGAGATGGAAAATAAATGTCTCTTACAAGGTACCTGTAATTACTCACACTGAAAATAGGTTTTTTTAAAAAATCTTTTAACTGATGAAAGTATTTGTTTGGTTAATTAACAGTGCAACCCCACTTTAAGATTGGTGTGCTTGCCTACATCGTTTGTGTATGAATGAAGAACAGGAACAGCTGATTTCACTAACTTTTTGTACTGACATGTTGTCTGGCAGGAAATTTAGAGTTAAGAGTGGGCAATTTGGCCATTTATTCTCAACTATGATGTGTCAGACATTGTTAGAAACCAACATTTCAGACAATGCCAGAACTTAAGACTAGTGAGAAGTCTGCTGTACTGCCGCGAATGAAATCCCAGTGAATCCCCTTTTCCCAGAGTTAGAGACATCCTGCATGCTGAACAGCTTATACTTTGCTCCTCAAAACAAATCAACCCATTTATTCTAAAAATGTTTGTAATGTTCTGCTAATGAACAGTTTTAAAATTCACTATGGCACAATAAAGAGAAAAAAGTTTATTTAACATGATTGAAGATCTCTGACAAACCTATTTAAAGCAAAATATATAAGCTTTATACCAAGCAGGCCCATCGAATCCTACAGTAACCAGCTGTGACTCTCCAAGATCCCCAGACAAAGGCCTTTCTGAGCAAAGTCCTATGCATGTGAAATCTAGGAAGTTTTTATGAGCTAAAATGTTTGGAATTTGGAATGTCTGCTTGCTCTTCCAATTCGCCGTTGAACCTTTGTGTCTGTAAATGGAAAACAGTCAACTATGCAGAATTCATTTTCAGATGTCAGCATGAGAATATGCACGTGTGGTCATAAGTGAGCTACCAATCAGAGCACACAAAACATAGAAAAACTTTTGGCAAATGAGCAAATCTGTAGCCCCTGTAGTTATGGATAAAACTAAAATATAATGGGCAATTTGTGCTCAGTTTAAAAAATCATACTTCTACAAAAAGGGATATACTATGCTATGTATACAGATTTGGCATAGTCTAAAATGGGGGCGGGCAACTTGTAGCCCTGCAGATGTTTCAGCCAACAATTCTCAGCTCTAGCCAGCAGGGATGATGAGGTTGTTGCCAGAACCTCTGTGAGGAACCCACAATGCCAATGACTGGTTTAGAATTTTCTAATGGAAAATAACTCAAAACAGTTTCTTCCAGAGCAAGCCTCAGAAATAAGTACAAAGTCAAGTCACATTTAATTTGATAGCCATCTGTTCAGGTAAAACTGCTGTGAGAGTTTAAAAGCAATGCATTGTGGGCCAGTTCTGCCCATCAAAAAGCAGCTTCTTTGTACAACCCAGAACCCATGCACAAATCACACAGAAAAACTTATATTGTGCACCATGACACTGTGCATTTTATGGCCATAGCAATTACGCCAAAGAACTGTTACCAGCAGGTGTTGTGCCCATATGCACATATACATAGGCTGGGCTCATGTGGAACAAGAGTAATTTGGTCTGGCAGTGTTAAATTCAGCCCTGAATTCTGCTAAACGTCTACAGCAGCCTTCCCCAACCTGGCGCCCTGTTGGTATTCTGCATTACAAATCAAATTGGCTATGTTGGCTGAGGCTGGTGGAAGTTGAAGCTGAAATCATATGGAGGATATCAGACTAGAGAAGGATAGCTTTCAGAAATGCTCATGGCCACTCATTACATGCAAGGAGCGTAAGAGTAAATACTCGGCAAGTTAGGAGAACATTAGCAGCTGTGTTTGCATGAAGACACAGTACCAGAGACTTCACCATGGAGAAAGTACCTCATCTACATTGTCCACTTACTACAGGAAAGCACTTATAAGCCACCAGCAGAGGTCGTACCTCCCCTTGCTGTATGAAAAGAACAAAGCTTTGGTCTCCAGCCTTCAGGATACATGATTATGCTTCCAGCAACCCTAGATGCTGGAGCAATATATTACCCACAAAACAACAGCTAGCCATTGGATCCCAAATGGCTTCAGTTGCCTAACAAGACCTCTATCAAGGCTAATGCTCTCACAGGATGGCTTCTAATTAAAATATATATTTTAATGCTTGTTACAGTAACATAAGGTGCCCAACACTTGTGGCCACACCACTCCATGCTATGCATCCTGCAGCTATTTAAGGAGCAGGACGGCCTTTGAAAGATGAGCTACCAAGAGAACAGAACGATCTGCAAAGGGCCCCCCTGACTGACTTTGCCCACAGTTCAGATTAGACTTCCCCCAGGTTTCATTTACTTAGCCTAAGCTCTCAGAACCAACAAGCCCAGTCAGCTGATGCCACAAATGCTTCAATCTGCCCTCCCAGGTTCTTATCCCACTCTGCTTTTGCTGAGGTCAACAGCAAATAGGATAGTTTACCTCAAGAAACCACTTTAGCTTTATAAAAAAGAAAAGGAAAATAGCAGCAGCAACAAACATAAGCAGATACAATTCAGTAGCTGGGTGGGAGCTCAATTGTCAAAAACTTCATAGTCAACCTGCCATTCGCACTTGTAGGAGGCATTTGAGCCCTGAGCAACAGCAAAAAAAAAAAAAAAAAAAAGAGAGAGAGAGACAGGTTCACTTTAAGGCATGGGTCCTCAAACTACAGCCCTGGGGCTGGATCTGGCCCACCATGCCCATTTATCCAGCCCACCTCAGAGGTTTTAGATGCGCTGCGCCCGCCGCCCCCTTGCTGTGCACCCCCTACCCCCACCCACCCCTGCCTCACCACACCCGTGCACTCGCCCCCTTGCCAGCACCACATTGCCGGCCCTCTCTCATCACGTCACCTTTCAACTGGCCCCCTGTTGAAAAAGTCTGAGGACCCCTGCTTTAAGACAAGGTTAAGCTGCATGTGGAGAAAAAAAAGGCTCTTTTCTCAGGTAGATCTCTAGATGCAGAAATGCAGTCTTTGGCCATTTGACAAAATCTGGACAAATGATCCTCTCCTCTGGAGGAAAAATCAGCAAGGTTTTGAGGGCTCACTGAGCTACAGTTATCTCATTGCCTTAGCAAGCTCCTCTCCAGATGTGAGCTAAAATAATAGAAACGCTAGCTGTGCCTCCTCTTGGCAAGCTCCTGTAAACCATAGCTTATGCACTGACTCCCATGGCCCTTGTCCAACAAAAGGCATGAGGCAGAGCTGTTTTATGGAGTTCTTGAGAAGTTTCTCAAAGCACAACTCTGCCTCCTAAGACAGGCATACAAGCGGGCTCCAGCTAGCCAAACATTTACTTAGCCCTGTCTTCTAGCAGCCTTCCCAAAAGTGGAGTGACACCCTTATGCAAAAGAGAGGTTTTACAGGATAGCACTTAGGTCACGTTGCACCATATGGTTGCAAGGCAGTCAGCTCCTTTCAAGTTCCCATGCAGTTGATACTTATTTTATTCCTCAAGCAACCAGGAGAAAGAGGAGGAAGCCAAGTGCCTCATCACTGTCTTGCATTAAAGCATGCCCAGTGTGAATTTGCACCAGCAGACTACTTCTGGAATTATAATCCCAGCAGAAATTGTAAACTTCCCTTGGGAAAAGTTCAGCTGTTACTGTTCTCTGCCCTTCCAAGCAGCTCAGAGCAGATTTAATCCGCACAACACCCCTGTAAGAGCAGATCAGGACAAATGAGAGAACAATTTACTCAAGGCCACCTGGAAGCTTCTGGGGATTTGAAGGTGGGATGGTCAAGAACACAAGCCATACTAATTTTCCTATTCCAGCTGCTACTGGATCAAGCAGCACTCATTTCAATTTGCAAGCTGAAGGGTTAACAGACACTTTTTGGTCTCCAAAAGGGAAATTGGCCATTGTTCTTGGAAATTTTCAGCCTTCCCCAGCAGAGTGTTCATTTACATTAAGGTATTAGGAGCCATTTAATCCTGTAAATACTACCTGATCATCAGACAAGCTGTTTTTTCCTTCTGGTATGCTTCAGTTTGAATTGGTTTCACCAGTTAAGTGGGAGTGGGGAAGCAGGCAAAGGAAGAGATGCTAGTCATCTAGCTCTCTTCACAGAATTCAATTACACAGTCTTTTAAACACAGGGTGAACAGCAATTATGTACCAAAAACATGCACACACAAGTAAGGTTGTCACAAAGGAATTAGTTAAGAAACACAAAGCAATTGAGAAAGAGCAGCTTGGGACCCAACACCCAACACTAAAAAGTTGCTTCTCCAATATGGGAATCACTGCAAACCACTGGCTGAACCTCTTCAAATACATTAAAGACCAGAGGTGGATTTTTGCTTCTTCAGAAATAGTTTACATATAAGGATATGGGTATTATTTGCTCAGTAGAACATGGAATTAATTTTCACTTACATCTTAAATAGAACTTGATAGGGCAGCAACTGCAATCTGGGAATATATATCAGGATGCTAAGCAAGAGTCTCCTAAATCAATACCATGTAACTCTGAGGAAGGAAAGATGAGGAAGAATATTTTCACCTGTTCTCAACTGACAGATTCAGAATCAAACCCCAGCCTCTAAGCAAAGAGACATGCAATGTATTAGTCACTCTAAAGACACTGGCAATAATCCTTTTTTCCATAGGCACTAGGAAGAAACTAAGGAAAGCCAAACTGGCAATTGAATAAACTGCTCCTGGGAATCAGAGTGCACATAGATCTCACATCTGGAAATAGACTGAAGCAAGCAAAAAAAAAAAAAAAAAAAAAAAACACAGAAAGAATGGATATTTTACAATATACCATTCAATACCACCTTTACATTATACCAGTGCCTATTTATCAATAATGGCACAATTTCTCACCAATGAAGGAAGTCTGCTTCTCTGAACATTTAGTACATCATAATAGAATCCTTGAATTCTCGTGCCCCATGTCATACAAAAAGCTTAGCCTCTAACAGTTAACATCATTAGCAACAAAACTGACTGTAAAATAAAGAATTTAAAAGAAAGCAAAACTTACCTCATAGGATAGAGACTCCATTTAAAACAATAAAACCATTTTTTCCATCATGTTAAGGCTGAAAAATGTCACATTTCCTCATACTGAACTACAGGGCAGGAATTATACTTGCCTATTTCTAACCTTGCCTAGGAAGATTAGATGTTAGAAAAGTCCTGTGTACAAATGGACACAAACAACAATGGCTGGCAGAGAAAAGACTGTAAGAAATTCTGGCAGGAATACAGACATGTTGCCCCCCAACCTAATTGCGGATAGTCTACTGAAAAGAAAATAACTTGAATGCTCAAGTCAAATACTTCAGCAAATAATGAACAAAACCATAACGTATGGGACCAAGAGAGAATTATTTGTTACATTCTGTGTATTCCCAAGCACTGCAGTTTAACCATGGCAACAAGGAGCACAACACTTCAAGGCCTACCACTGAGCACCCAGTGGCAAAACAATTTGCGTGGACACCTCTTCCACAGAAGTTCAACTGAAATGATCAGTTGAGGAGCAGCACTGGATGAGCCATGTTGCCAAGCAGCCTTCTAGAGGAAATCATCCAAAGGCCTGGTTGTTCTCAAAAACTGATGGCCTCTCCCAACCTACCAGCTCCTGCTGATAGTTTAGTCCTCCAAATGCAGGGGAACAATTCCACAATATTCATGTAAAGGGACAGGATTACTGGATAGACAAAACAGCACAAGAACCTCCATTTCCTGGGCACTCCCCTTGCATCTTCAATGTATTATGTAACAGAACCCCACCCCCTCAACCCAACGCAGTCATATTTTATCCTCAGCAAGTTCTTCTTCAGTTGCTGTTATTGATTGGCTGCCTCACATGCATCTATCCAATCACTGTAAACATCAACCGGTTCTGAAAGATCTTTAGGGTCAAAGGTCAAGGAAGAGAGCCTCCTACATAAAATGATCTTATATGAATGTGCAATGCCCACATTCTTTCCCCTTTTTATCTCCCTATAGCCTTTCATACCTGTTCTCCTTTTTCCACCATACAGCACTTTTATAGTCATGCCACACAATGCATTTTATAGAGTCAAGACTATTACTTTAGCCCAAATGTTTTGAGGTAAAAGCAGCAGAGAATACGAAGAACCAGTTGCTATAACCTGGTTCACAACTGATTTTGCCTTATCATGGCTAAACATTCTAGCACCCCACTATTTCACTGTTATCGTTTCAATTTTTTAAAGAAGTCTCCCTTCTGTAAGGAGAATTTTAGCAACTGGGAGTGATAAGTCTTCTTCCTCTGTGAAGTTGCTACAGCCCTGATTACATAGGATAGGCTGGATACAAAAATAGAGAACAGCACAGAATACCTTCTAATGCATCCAGCAGCACACTTCCAGAAAACCTGCCTTTTCTGCTAGCTTGGAAGTGGTCAGAAACCCTTTTCCAAAATACTAATTCTTTCAGAAGTATTACAAACCCTTACTAGTGACCGTTTTTATAAATCATGGTTAAACTGGTGCAAAAATAGGACTTAAGCTTATTTAAATTGTACAGTGAGGAGAGAGAACAAGCTTCAACTGATTAGCACTATGGAATGAGCATCTGTGGTTATGCTCTATAGGACAGATTAATCAGTTTTGATGTATTTCCAGACTCTTATCACAGGACAGGCAGGACACAAAAGCAACCAAAAAAAGTATCTTACCCTTCTGTAACTCATTTTACAAGATACTGTCATGAAAACAAGACCCAACTTTCCAGACTAAAGGAGGATCCACTAGTAAAACAAAATACAAGTACTTTTTCTCCTTTCCTTCCCCACACTGCAAACATACGTTTCCTTTTTACCCAGTAGGACAGGAGAAGCATTTATTGTGGATCCTTTTTGCTGAGTAATAGACCAAAGGATACATGTTATAGGGGTTTGAAATTCTTCCAGGCACACAGTACAAGATATCACACCAGTATTCCGAGCCCTGTCCCTGGAACACAGAAACAAGATTACAGTGGCAAGTATTTCCAGTTCCACAAAATAATTGCAGCTAAAAACCTGGAGGCCAGAAGAATAAACATCAGCAGGGGCTTGTTCAAACATATTAATTTTGGCACTGAGCATCCCTCAACATGCAATGAATAGTGGATGCAAATATCTGTAAATTCATGTCAGCCAGAGACATAAGGGAAGTGCCAGCCACAAAGCTTTCTCTGGCACATAGCCAGCACCTGACCAGTTCTTGGGAATGAGAAGATGGGAGGTTGATACATAATGAAGCAGAAAGGATTTCCCATTTCTGATCCACTTTATTAGTAGCAGAAGAGGCTAGAGGCCATCCAGTGAAACACAATCAAAAGCTTTCTTAGGATTTCTTGGAGAAATGGTGGCTTTTTAGCTTTAAAACTGTCATGCTAAATTCTTGTTCTAGTTTCTATTATTTTTCAATATTTTTACTTACTATTAAGTGCACTCAAGAAATCACTGACTCTGAAGTATTTTTCACTTTTTCTTCTGCCTCAGTCTTTTTATCTCACTGTTCTTTGGTTTCTTCTAAAATTCACTCTAGCTTTGGTGCCATATTATTTTCAAAATCTTTGAATGTCTGTACAACTACTTTCTTTATACCATCTTAGAATGCAAAGGCGGGGTAGAGAAAAGGGTTGAGCTTTCTCACTGTTTTGTCTCAGGAGGGACTTGCTTTGCAACTACACTGCAGTAGCACATATCATTACTGTTTCAAACATTCTGTACAATGTAAAACATAAGCTGGATCAGTGAGAAGGAAGATGACCAAATCAATCTTCTGCAAAAGCGTTCCACCACCATTTCCCCCCATTCCTTTCACAATCCAATACTGTACCAAATAGAATCCTCCTGTACTCTTGTTTTCTGAACCTTCACTTTGAAGGGCCTGGAACCCAAATGGCTGCACTCTATGTAAATACAGTTTGTCATCCATCAATTTGTCCAATTTTTCTCTCATACAACCTACATTTTAACATCACATGACTTTTCATGGTTACAAAAGGGACAAGTAAACTGGGTCTCAAGTGTCCCAGTCATCTTCTTCTTTGGTGGAGGCTTTCGCTTTGATTTCCTTCGGCCCATTCTTGCCTGTAACATAGAAAAGGGAAACAAATGTTAAGGACAAGAAATGTATTTATTTTTGAGGAGCTTTATCATTAGTACCTTTTCCATTCCCAATAGCTGTGAAATATTAAGACTAGATGCAAATTTTTGCAAAAATCTACATCTCTGCAATCATCACTTGGTACCACAGTTACCAGGTCTAAGTGAACTCAGATTCTGTAATTATGAGGGTTCTTCAAAAAGTTACCACACTTTTAAAAACTCTATTTGTTAAGAATTTCAAAAACAATTACATCACTTTTCTACAGTCACTTTCCTTTGTGATGAATTTTCCCAGCGTCGTGCCAACTTTAATACCATCAGATGTGGAAACTTTGTGAAGACCCCTTGTAGATACAGATTTAAAACCTAACAGCCCCTGCAACCCCAAGCAGGAAATCATTTTTTTTTTACACAAAAATAAAAATGGTGTTTTTAAAAGCTGGAGCTCCTGCCTTTGTTGTTGCCTTTTCTGAATGCCAAGGGATGGGAAGGAGATGCTGCGACTGCTTTTTATGCACTCCTAAGGTGACCCTTCAAATGTGCTCCCTGATTTCTGTGGTCAACATTCTGAATTCCGCTGGAAATAGAAGATATAAAAAGTTCAATGCAAATTTGCATCATGTAGGCCTCCAACCAATTTGATCTCCATGGTTCTCCCCACAGTGATTTAGTGTACAACATCGAGTTTGATGAAGACTTCTGGAGAATTCAAAATCTCAAATGTTGGCTGAAACTAAAAAAGAAGTTTGGCAGGTTTTTGTTTTCTTTTCTTAGACCAACATGGCTAACTTTGCTTTTAATGCCCCATCTATACCACCTATATGCCTCTCCCTCAAAGAGCTCTCATTACATAGGCAATGAAAGAGAACAAAACCAACAACACTCCTGATTACAGAAAGATGTGCAACAAATGATACAGTTGGACTTACCTCTACTACCTAATGAATTATGTAGAAACTAACACTTTCCTTACCACTGGAAAGGAAGTAGCTCCTGCCAGGTGGGCTGGGCAAGCAAGGAAAAAAACAGGGAGGCTGCTAACTTTGTCAACCACTTCTGAAAAGGCCCATTGTAAGCTGCTCAGAGAGCCCACGTGCGGGCTAATGTAGCAGCATATAAACTGGATTAATGTAATTGCCCTTTTAAAAGCAGTTTGATTTAGAGAAACTACGAGATTTTACAAATGCAAGGAAAATTTGTACGAGCACAACAAACAAGCGGTAGTACGACAGGCAACACTTTTTCCTAGTCGACTCTAGATAAAACAACATCCAACAAGAACTGATACGGAAGAGGGTAAAGAAGCGAGAAGCAGCTATCGGAATAGCAGCATTACCAGCGAACCCTCCTACAGCCTCTGCCTGGTTCTGCATGACTTGGAAACGGGGCTGTGGCGGGGGAAGGGGGTGCAGCGGCTGCCTTCGGTTTTCTTTGCCATCCCATTTTTTTCTTTCGAATAATTAAAAACAGCTTACAATTTCTTCAGGAAAAGTCTGCAAACCACATGAATTGCTCCTTGACATATCTGGCGTTCCCCCTCAATAACTTTCAGGCTGGGTACGGGCCTGTTCGAGGAGAGCACGCGAGGCAGCAGGCAGCCGACCCTTTCGGCGCTCTCCCGAAAGCCCAGCCACGGGTCCAGCCCTGCTCGGTGCCGAAATACCCGCCCACTCGGGCGCGAGGGGGCACCGCCCCTCCAGAGGACCGGCGGAAACCCTTCTGCGACCCCCACCCCCTTCCCTACCTGGGATCCAGAACCTCCCCAGGCCTCGTTTCCAACTGAGACCGGCACTTCCGGCGTTTGACCCGGAAGGAAAAGGTGGTCGCTCCGCCCTTTTTATTTCAAGCGCTATCCGGACCTTCCGGGTTCTTGCAGCCAAGGTCCCCCCCCCCCACCACCCTCCGGCGGAAGTCGGAGCTGCCCGCAAAAATCAATACTCTGGTCTGGTTAGTGAGTAATAAAACATTATTGCTTTTTCTGACACCGGGCTTATATCGGGTGCAAACATAATCGTCTCAAGAGTTTTAAAACAATTGCAATATTACTGTCTTCCTATACGGCGGCAACGTGTTGCTTTGGCTAGGACAGGCATCATTAGAACAGTCTTACAATGCCGTCCATTTTTGATACTGCAAATCAGCGGTGAAGATGGCGCTGATTTGGGTTTGCAGTAAAAAATCTGAAACTGCAGCAAAGGTCAGCCTCAGTTTGATTTGCATCCCCTTAACCAATGCTTCGTTGCGCTCAGAAGCTTTCTCTGATTTGCATTCAGATTTAAAACCTAACCTGCCCCCGCAGCAAATCGCTTTTTTACACAAATTTATTGTTAGTTAACTGACATATGCTTAAGTATGGAATACAATCTGATGCATGTTTATTCAGAAGTAAGCCCCATTGCGAGCATTGGTGCTTTCTTCCTAGTGTGGTCCCATTCTTGCAGGACTGGGACTCAGGAGAGCTGCATTCCATTCCCCACTCAGCCATGCGGTCAACTGGATGACTTTGGGCCAGTACCAGACAATCAGCCCAGCTTACCTCACAGGGTTGTTGTTGTGAGGGTAAGATTGAATGGAGAAAGAGAATTATGTAAGCCACCCTGAGTTCCGTGAAAGTAAAGAAAGGTGGATAAAAATACATACAAATGGCAACTTTTGTTTCAGTAAGGGATGACAATGAGTAGCACAGCAATTCTAAACTGGATGGTGGCAGAACAACAAAGTGCCAACCAGCATGGTAAGAGTGACTCCACCACTCACACGTAATACCTTGTTTCTGTCCTGGATCGAGGACTTTAAATTTTACCAGCTTTTCCTTACAACAGGAGAAAATTATCCTGCAGTAACTCTAGGCCAGTGATGGCAAACCTTTCAGAGACGGAGTGCCCACATTGCAACCCAGAACCCACTTATTTATTGCCAAGTGCCAACACTGCAATAAAACCTGAATACAGTAAAACTGTGGATTGTGAGTAACTTGGTCTGCGAGTGTTTTGCAAGATGAGCAAAAAAGTTTTTCTAAATTTTAACTTGATAAACAAGCAACGTCTTGCAGCACGAGTATTACGCGCACTTTGCCTGCCGAGCGTCATGTCACAACTGAGCACTGGTTCTTCTCTCTCTTACTGCGGGTGTGAGTACAGCATCGTCTCCCCCCCGAGCACACCTGCAATCGTGCCTGCCTCCCCCCCAGAGCTCCCGCAATTGCATGTGCCTCCTCCCCACCCCGGCCCGCCCGTTTCAAATTTTTGTGATTAAAAAAAAAAAAAGTTACAGAACGGATTAACCTTATTTACATTGAACCTTATGGGGAAATTCGCGTTGATATACAAGTGCTTTGGATTACAAGCATGTTTCGCAATCCAAGGTTTTACTGTGCTGAGGTTTTAGTTTAGCAAAAAACAACTCACAGCCAGTCCAAGAAAATATATACATATTCTTGGCAGCACACTGACCAGCCATGCAAAAGCTCGAACAAGTCGCGGCTCATGAGTTGCGGCTCATGATGTCATTGCCTGCCGCCACTACTTTCCGAGCATGCGCATGACCCCTGTGTGCGCTATTATCCAATGCTCGGCTGCTGGGGCGACTCAGCTTACGCGCCGACAGAGAGGGTTCTGCGTGCCCGCTATGGCACCTGTGCCATAGATTTGCCACCACTGCTCTAGGCTGACATAGGTGAGTGGCCCTCTTGTGGAAACTGAGCCATTGGTTCCTGCAGAATGGCCCCAGAATTCACCTTATACTGAGTGTGTTCCTTAACTAGGCTAAGAGCTACTCCCTTTTATCAATTAGTTTATTATTTTACCATGTGAGCCTTGCAAAATTCAAGCGATAAGGAGATAAAGTATCTGTATTTATTCTGTTATGATGTCCTTGGTTTTGTAAGAGTGGCACAACAGCAACAAACAAAACAGGACCTGCCCTTAGCTGATATTGACAGAGATCCAGCCTGACCTTTTGCTTTGGTTAGGTTTTTGTTCTGAAGCCAACTGCCAGAAAAGCAAGGAGAACATCTGGAGTCTTCTGCTTTGGCCTCCAATCCACAAGGCAAGCACACTTGTTTTCTCTCTTTGTTTATTCTATACATACTAGACAGTCAATTAAACAGATACAAGACACTCCTGGTTACCACTGTTACCTTTGCTTTCACAGACAATGCCAACTCCAGGCTGACTCCCCATCCCTGCAACTAGAACCTGGACTTTCAGAGGAAGTCCCATTAAGAAATGGTTGAGTATCTCTGTCTGGAGGAACTAGCTTCCTGACCCACAGTACAACTTTCTTACCTAGTTTATGGTTTAGCTTACTTATTTTCATTCATCGCAGAACTACTTCCAGGCATCTGTTCAAGAATTCCACAGTATCTTTGGGATTAATGGGTGGAAATGAAAGGTGTCTACTATGATCTACTGTGTAACTCACAGATGTCCTCCTGCAATGACTTCATTTAGAGAGCCTGGAAAACAGGACAGAGCCTTGAGACACCCTATAGGCCTAAGCTCTAAACTGCAGCAGAAATTCTTTTGTACCATCAGTTAAGCATGTCCTACCAGAAAAGGAGCCATCATAAAACTGCACCTCCTCCGACCCTGCCCCCCCACACACTTCAGCAAGACAAGCAAGATATAATGATCAATGCCATGCAAAGTGATTGAGAAGTCCAGGTTGCATCCTACTAGGTTGCCAGTTCATTCCTTGATGTCACTCATCCATCAGACTTACCAACATCCATGCTGGAAAAGAGATTGTAACAGATGGATGCAAATTTCATGCAAGACTGCCTTGGAATGAAGTACAAGCACCCTCTTCCTCACTTCGTACAAAATCTGGACATGTTAATCTAGTGATAGTGATCCAGGACTATAAGGCACCATCACCTTTTTTAATGCAGTAGAAATTTCCTCAAAAGAAGCATCTGAATCTTGTGTTAGAAGCCTAGACTTACCCAAGATGAACATGAGTCCAGAAACATGTGGGCCCAACTCCTCCGAGCAAGTTGTTTCCATATCCAGTCTGCACAAAGTAAAAACCACCTCAGAACGTGACCAGATAATATCCTAACTGTAAAACCATCTCTGTCAGAACTGTAGTAGCCTTTTGGTCACTGTGAGGGGCTTTATGGGAAGAGAAGTCCAGTAAAGCCCTGGTTGGCAAACTGGATTTCAGGCTCATAGTTTACATGTTTTGAGAGGAAGGTTTTATGGGCAAATTATTTATTCATTTATTTAAATTATTCATTTCATAGGTACTTGTGCACCAAAAAATAATTGTCTTTTAAGTAACTGATGATCCATTACTAATGCTTTTGGTTAAAAATGCAAATAAAAAGCATAAAACATAAGGAAATAACAAGCATATTAAGAATGACCCTAATATTCCTACTGCACAAATTTTGAAGAACAGGACCCTTCACAGTCACAGATGAGGACACAGCAAAGTGTTTCCTGTACGTGACATATTGTGCAACTTTTCTCATGCACACTGGCCACCTCTGGTCAGCTGCTGCTGACATTGGGAAGTGTTGTCCAGAGAGGCTGACAGGATAATCTTGTTTTCCATCCCTAGTCATATGGCTTTGGGCTGGAGAACTGCTGGTGTGGCAATTCCTCCTTTTTCTGGATTGTAAAGCAGCTCTTTTTCACAGCTGAAACACCACATCTGATGTTGGAAGGATATTTTCCATAGTGTTTCTTCTGTGTAAATAGGTTCCCAGTTACATACTGCACAGAGGATTGAGAGATCTCTTGGTGTCTTTGTCTTGTTCTAAAAATAGTCACATTGAAAGCTTGGATTGGAGCAAGAAGAGAGGGTAAACTAGCTCACCCTGCATAATTTCCTTAATGCAAACCTCTTGCATGCAACAGCTATAAACTACAGTGGGGAACACATTCAGGTGTAATCAGAGTGCCTACTAAGAGCAGCTGCAGATGCACAATGTATATTCAGAGACTGGTGTGCAGGGAAAGAACTAGCTCCTCCTGTGGGACTGATCCAGGTCAGGCATTTCCTCCATGGCTACTTTTGGGGATAAACAAGGAAAAGGCATTAGGGAATTCAGTCATGAGGCAGTTGCAGGCTGTGCATTGACACTTTCAAGTGATTTGTAAACTTTTACATGTCTACATCTTCCACCTGCAATTCAATTTTGGCTCACCTGGCACCAAGTTCTGGTTTATATCCCATATGTTTTCTCTTTGTGTGTATATCCCTAACTTTTTCCAATTTGGAGTGGGCTCCCACTCCAAATCTGTGACTCTGCTTGCTAGATAGGAAGATGACTTCTTTATTACTAACTGGGTTTCCACAATGCAGCAACCCATCTCAGTAACTTAGACAGGATGGCTTATTATGCTGTCCAAACCTAGACTGTTTCCTGTTGGGTGTTTGTCTGTAAACCAACAACACTTAGCTCGCCCAAGGAGTTGTTTGATCCCTGATATGCTGTCGTGTCATCTGA